AATATAACAAAGAGTGAAAAATTTAAGGGGGTCTGATATACTTTCCGTACCCACTGTACATGTGTCTATGGCTGCTGGTGTCTCTAGCTTCACGTTTCTGACTATGGAGTCTCCAATTTTTTCAACATGTGTCGCTGAGTAGGGAAAATTAATTTGCATGAACAGGCAGTTGATGCTCCGTTGGCATTTGTTTGGAGCTACGACTCTTGCTAACTGTCACTCAGCCACCTGGCTGAGATCCCGGCTGCTCAGGAAGCACTGGGGGGCAGCTAGCTTGGGCTGAACTATGTCTAAGTGACCCTGCACCAACTACATGGGCCTAGCTAGCTGGACTGTTCTCCATGGTGCGGTACTAGGTTTGGTGAAGAATGGATGGCATATGGAGTATAGGGAGTGAAAAAAATGTTTTCCAAAAATTTTAAGATTGCATAAAAATAATCTGGACTGATGGAAGTGGGCGGTCCCAATTGCAAAAACCTTTAGAAGCATCCAAGGAATCCAGAGGGCATTAAATCATTAAATTACACATTTAAATCTGTGATATTATGCATTCCCAAAGTTGCCATGTGTGTTGGCGGTTGTCAAATAATTTTGTCCTCACAGATAGTTGAACTCCTACAAAGGCTGAAAACCACTGTATTGCAGTATATTTTGTAGAAGGCTACAGACCTTCAGTCAGTCACACATTATGTTCAACAGGAATGCTGTGCTGTGTTTGAGAGGACACACAGTGTGAATGCTGTGTTTATCACAAAGTCTTTAAATTTACACATACTCCCCTCGTTGGCTATTTTTAAAACTTACTTAAAGACTCACTTGTATGCCTTGGTGTTTGATATGCTATGAGACTCTGTTTGGGCTGAGTTTTGGTTGATAGTATTTTGTTATTTTGCTATCTTGGTTCTTTTATGTTATTTTATTGGTATTTTAATAATGTAGTTGTCACGTTTTTAGATGTTTTGAATTGTATCTTATGTTAAGCACTTTGTTGGCCTCGGCTGTGTTAAAGTGCTTTATAAATAAAGTTGAGTTGAGTTATGTTTTATTCAATCACAATCAGAAGGTAAATCTCATGAAAATAAAACTTGTATGAAGTTTTTTTATCATACTCAACAATTAGCTGTTGTTATCCTACTTCCACAAACATTTCTATTTCACACACAATTTTTTTTTCTTTTTTTTTTGTCACTATCTCCTTCTATACACTTTGGACTAGATATTTCCTACATACATCTTCTTTGGAAGATTTATGCTATTTTCTTTTGTGTAAATTTTTATACTTTTTGTGTATTTCAAGCTTTTGTCAGCTTTTTTATAATGGTTATAATGGCTGTGCATGCTATTTTAACTGAAACTGGCAAACAAACCGGATGCACATGCAAAACCAACCACTTAGTCACCACTTAAGTCTTTTCTCCTGTAAAGGTAGACCACAATGTTTAAAAACCCTTCAAATAAAGCACAAATCTCAGCTTTGTGTGTCTGCCCTGGTGTGTTGTGGAGTCTTCTCCTCCTTGTTCCGGTGCACCAGCCAGAAATTTGCTCAATACTGTCATCGATGGTCGGGGGGGGATACCCACTTCAATTGGACCAGTGACAATGAGAATCTAAGCACCATTAAATTAAATACATATCAGATAAAGCCATCCACTACCTGTAGGATGGCAGTGCTTTACAGTGACATTTAGTTTCGTTTTGTGTAGGCTAGTTAGCTAACACTTTTTTTAACTCATGAATACCCATAACGGAAACATATTTACTCACAAGAGCAAATTTACAATTTTAACAGTTTTATAGGAATGGTTCGAAATGTCTTAGTCAGTTAGTGGAAAGAAGAGATGTTTGTTTAGTTTACATTTTTGCTACACAATAGCATATTAGAATACACTGTTTGCTCTCAAGCAGACTTTATTCTATTGAATCAGTTAATTTCAATCATTCAGTGCAACATTCTCAGTTTCAGTGATACCAGAGCAATACCTTTATTTTACGAACCAATTGTACATATGTGACTAACAAACAATATGATAAAAATATGAACAGGCCTATTTTGAATGTATTATAGCCTGCCTCTAATACAATATGCCCTATTGGTCATTCTTGGGAAATGGGACAAAACTGGTTTTAATGTCTTGAAAATAAACTTTATTATTTTCAAGAACTTAAATCTTTTTGTTAAAAAATATATATTAAGTTATCAAATCCTGTTTTGGAACCTTTTTAGTGTTTTAGGCTACAAGATCTTTGTCAACACTGTTGAAAAATTACAAAAAGCATAGAGTAAACACCAAAAGATTCTACTTGATGGAGTTGACAAGACATTGATGGCGGGGACACACGTCTGACAGTGCTATAGGCTGTAAGAGAATAGATCTCTGGAAAATATCAAAAGGCTATCCAGATTTAAAACTAAAACATTTTATTGTAAACATCTATGCAGCATTTAAACTCTTGGAATACAACTTTGACTTGCTTTCCAACATCTCAACTCAGAATGGGCTACCCAACTCAGTGCGTGCTCTTTTGTTCATATGAATTTTTATATATTTCCAAACCATTCAGTTATATTGGGCAGCACCTTTGTCTACAATTAGGCTAGCAATCTCATTAGTCAGAACACTTAGCCTCAAGTTATGCGTGCAGCATCATGTTAATGATCAAGGAGCTATTATGGTCTGGACTCCCTCTACTTAAGCCTGCGGACCTCAGTTACAATTTTGCCTGAGCTACAGCCCTATGGATCAATGTTGACCCTCCCAAATGCCACAAGAAGAGGTGCTATTTTTGCTGGGATAAGTTCATTCTACAGTACCTCATCTATAAAAGGGACAAGGCAGAATATGGGGTTGGAGGTCCGCATGAGGGAGGGAGCGAGAGCTAGAGAATGAATGAGGAGAGAGAGCAGGAGCAGGGAGACCAACGTGGATCAGAGAATTTAAACTTAATTTTGTGATTATATTATTGTGATTATGTTGTAAAGCTCAAATAAACACAGCCACACTTGTGCACAACCCTGTTCTGTTGTGTGCACTGTGTGTGTGTGTGTGTGTGTGTGTGTGTGTGTGTGTGTGTGTGTGTGTGTGTGTAGCTCTGCCCTCAAACTGACACAGAGACCTGCAACTGGATCCACATGGTAGCCTACTGTTATTCCTGATTTCTATTTATAGCCTAAATATATTGGGGAAAAATCTGATAACATCCCATTTGTTTCATTTTCAAATTGGACAAGAAGTACACAGACCATCAGATGTCACGATCAGCATCACAGCTCTAGTATCAGGATTCCGGTAGTTGTGTAAAATGAACACAGGGGTGGCAATTTACCGGCTTTTCAAGCTTTGTGTAAACAGGCTTAAACCAAAAAAGTCACCTTGAGGGAAGGCCAAAATCCCTGTTTGTAACTTAAAATTCATTCTTAAATTTATGGAATATCTTCATATATAGGTATCAGTGTGTTTATGGAAGCCTTTTACTGCTCGTGGACAGATTATTTATTCAATATGACAAGTGGTTTCTCTTCAGGAGTCCAAGATTTTTTATGGTAATTGCAATTTTTGTAGTAGAAACACTGCATTATTTATAAGTACTTGTGTTGGTACTTGGTATCAGCAAGTACTCAAATGTAAGTACTTAAACAATTTTGACTCTAGCTAAAGTACATTTTTTGTGCAAGACTGTCCTCTTCCAGCTTTTCAAAAAGGATGAATTATTGATTCTCTTCGTTGTTAATAATAGGAAACTGAACATCACAACATCATCACAAGCTGATTTTCACTGACAGGTGAACCTCATCATCACTGGGCAACTTGACCTTTGTTGAGAGACAGAAAACGCAAAAGAAGGATTTGTTTGAAAACAGATGGCGGAGATGCAGGCCCTTTGTCACATCTCATTTATTGTGTGTGTGTGTGTGTGTGTGTGTGTGTGTGTGTGTGTGTGTGTGTGTGATGTAGGCTTGGCCCGGAAGGGAACACTGCCAAGTCTGAAAAGAGACAAAAGGGGTCAGAGAATAATGTATCTACATTGTTAAAAAAAATCCAGTTCATCTGCAAAATGCCCTCCAACCCTCCCCCTTTTCCTCTCTGTGGTGTACCCTCCCCCCACCCCTATCCTGCCACCTTTTGACCAAAGAAGACAAGGCAGATTTCCTCCTTTGATCACTGGAGGATGGAGGCCAATGAATGAGCTAAAAAGAGCAGCAGAAGCAGTGCAGGGGCTGGGAAGCTGAGCTGTTTACCCTGCACTTGGCTTCTGTTAAGGCCTCCCGCTTCTCACATCTACTCCACCAACCCCAACCTTCTCAGGAAATTAACCCCCCCACCCCCTTGCACTTTTCAGCACCCTATCCTCATCCCTTCACCCTCAAGTGTCACCCCTGTCACCCAATATCCTTCTAAGAATAATGGGAACAGGGCAGTGCACCTGTCTTGACCCATCCAGACACCACCACCTCACTGTTTGTCCACAAAGGGGAGAGAGGAAGAGGATGGCATAGTTTGGGTGAAGAGGTGGAGACAGTATTGATGCAGGTTAAAAGTCAGAGCTGGAGGGTGAGATTTGTTAGTGAGGATGGAGAGAACCCAGCTGTCAGCAGAGGTCACCCTGTTGACCCACGCAGAGCCCTGTGGTATAACACCACTGACACCAGGCCAGCCCTCACGTTGAGGAGGATTCTCAATGTTGCACTAGATTATAGAGATTTTTTCCCCTCACCATAAGCTAACCATTTGTGTTGTTTGTTGCCAGGGCAGTGACAAAGGTGTCATATCAGTTTTGGAAGTGTGTTTTTATTTTTTCACATTTAGCTAATTTATTTTACTGTATTTCCAATTTGATCTTTGTGGGTTTACCCAGCTTTCAGAGTTAGAATAGAAAACACTGGGAAAATAAGAAGAAATCAAAAAGACCCAGGGCAGACAGAAGCCCAGGACACTCATGTCATCAAGCTCTTCGTTGTCTGCTTTCCATGTTTTCACCCTCTTTCTGGATTGTGTGGCCAGGTACCTCTGGTTCGCTCAGAGACTCACCTCAGCGAGCTCCTTGACGGACTGTGCAGCAGCATGAGTGACTACGCCCTCCATGTCGACCCTGATACCCAGCACAGACAGTACATGAGGTTTGCTCCCAGGAGCAGCGGGGTCTCTGGGGACTTCCCTGACATCAAAAACTTCAAGTTTGATGGACCTGAGGGATCCAACTCCCTGAAATTTGCAGTAAGTGGAAAAGTAGATGTAAAAATGATATAAAATTAAAGTGTAAAATATACTGTATTTGTGATAGAACTGTAATCGGTGATCATAACTGTTGATTCATTTAAGGATATTTATTTACAAGCAGGACAAGGTTACACCAGCATCATCCTTCACATACAGTTGAAGTCAGAGGTTTACATTCACCTAGGCTGAAGTCATTAAAACAGATTTTTTACCACTCCACAGATGTCATGTTAAACTATTGTTTTGGCACGTTAGGTAGAACGTACTTTATGCAGGACACAAGTAGTTTTGCCAACAGTTGTTTACAGATACATTATTTCACTTATAATTCTCTATATCATAGTTCCAGTGGATCAGAGGTTTACATCCACTCAGTGGACGGGGCCTTTAAACAGCTTGGAAAATTCCAGAACATGATGTCATGGCTTTAGAAGCTTCTGATTGGCTAACTGACATCATCTGAGTCAATAGGAGGTGCAGCTGTGGATGAATTTTAAGGTCTACCTTCACACTCGGTATCTCTTCATCTGACATCATGGGAAAATCAAAAGAAATCAGTCAAGACCTCAGAAACAACTGTGACCCTCCACAAGTCTGGTTTATCCTTGGGAACAATTTCCAAACGCCTGAAGGTTCCATGTTCATTTGCACAAACAATACTACACAAGTATAAACACATGGGACAATGCAGCCATCATACTGCTCAGGAAGGAGACGTGCTCTGTCTCCTAGAGATGAACGTACTTTGGTCCGAACAGTACAAATCACAGAACAACAGCAAAGGACCTTGTGAAGACACTGAAGGAAACGGGTACCAAAGTATCAATATCCACAGTAAAACAAGTCCTATGTCGGCGTAACCTGAAAGGCTGCTCTGTGAGGAAGAAGCCACTGGCCACATGGAGACAAAGATCTGACTTTGTGGAGAAATGTCCTCTGGTCTGATGAAACTAAAGTTGAACTGTTTGGCCATAATGACCATTGTTGTGTCTGGAGGGAAAAGGGAGAGTCCTGCAAGCTGAAGGAACACCATCCAAACCATGAAGCTTGTTGTTGTAACAAGCTTGTGGAAGGCATCCCCAAAGGTTTACACCAAGTTAAAGGCAATGCTACCAAATACTACCTGAGTGTATGTAAACTTCTGACCCGATGGGAATGTGATGGAAGAAATAAAAGCTGATATATATTAAATGTGTGTTGTGTGTGTGCATGGCTGAGCTGCCTCGGTTGTGTTTCCTTCAAGCCAAGTCTTTTTTCTGTACTTGTGTTTTTGTTTCAGTGTGAAACAATTGTGGAGGAGCTGGAAGATGATATCATCTCTCTGTTCAGCCAGGATGTAAAACCTGTGCACAAGGAGTTATGCAACAGAGTCTCAGGTATCACAGCTTCTTCACGCTTTCTTTATTACACATAAGATCCAGCAGCTCTTTTTACTATCATCCATTATTGAAAATTTGTGATATCTCAGTATACAACTAGAGGAGCTCATGGAGAATTTAGCTGAATCAATGTATCAGAGATTGTCTTAAGTGATACTGATAACACAGAAAAATTACCTCACACGCTTTGTTGTAGAAAGGTTTTTCAAATGCGATTTGACTTTACCTGTTTCTGCAATTCATTATCTTCATCATGCCTAATGCATACATTCACCGGCCACTTTATTAGGTTCACCTGTACAATTGTATGCACTTCAATGCAACACTTCCACTTTAATGTTTTTATGAAGCTCAAAATGTTTATTCAGGGGTGTTCCTAATATTTTGACAGTTAAATATGTAGCTGGGGAGGAAAAAAATATAGAGACACCTCTGAATATAATGTAGTCCAGTACAACAGCACCTTTAACTATGACCTCAATAATAAACATATAATTGAATTTATACGTTTATGACAGTTTCACCAAAAACGGAAACATTGTCCATCCATCATCTACACCACTCATTCCTGAACAGGGTCGCAGGGGGGTTGGAGCCACTCCCAGCTGACATTGGGCACAAGGCGGGGTCCACCCTGGACAGGTCGTCAGTCTATCACTGGGCTGACATGTAGACAAACAACCACACACTCACACTCACACTCACTCCTAGGGGAAATTTAGAGTCACCAGTCAACCTAAGCTGCATGTCTTTGGACTTTGGGAGGAAGCCGGAGTACCCGGAGAGAACCCACATGCAGACTCCGCACAGAAAGGCCCCGGGTCGGCCCGGGCTCAAACCTGGAACCTTCTTGCAATGAGGCGACAGCATTAACCACCTGAAACATTGTGAGCTTCATAAATCCAGATGTTAAGCCGGACGTGTTGCATTGAAGTGCATACAATTGTACAGGTGTACCTAATAAAGTGGCCGGAGAGTGTATATTACAGAATACAAAGATGGCTTTGTACAGTGTAATCAATCACCTGTGGTCAATTTGGTAATTTTCTATGGCTAATTTTTCCATACTGGAGGTAGCTTCCACATCCATATGCAACAGCAGTAGCCATTTTGTTAGAGGCTGTGAATGAGTTGAAAGTCATTACCAGTACATGTCTACAGCATTAAACCACTCCAGAGTGAGGCCTTCGAAAGCTTTAACACAAACTCACAATCAGCGCACTAGACTGGCCCCTCTGCCAAAATGACCTAAAGAGCTCCTTAAACAGCAAATCAAATCTTTTTGTCATAACATTGCAACTTTGTGCCATATTTTCATGTATGTATTTATTAATATAGGCAAATGATTTACCTCACCACTCTGTTTTTCTGCTTTTGATTTCAGACTACTGTAGAGACAGCAGTCACACAAACGAGGAATTATAGTGATGTTATATTTTCAGTGGATGAAGGTGGGACCAGCTTCCTCGCAATGATTACAAAAAAGAGGCCTTTAACAAAATCAGTTTTTGACAAATGCTTGACAATCTTTTGGAACAAATAAAAGAAGAAACCTTGAGAAACCATAGTGTGCACATTACCTTTTGTCTGAGCTTTGGAACAGATGCTCCCCAATGTCAGATCAGACTGTGGTGTTGTCAGACGCTGGCTCTTACTGGTTATGTGAGTAGCGACCGTTAGGATTCTACAGCAACTACTTTATCTAGCAAAAATGTCAGACCAAACTAAACATTTAAAATAGTGGTGCTTCACAAACTTTGACATTTTATAGACTAAATAAATCATTTCATTTAAAGAATAACTGACCAATTAACTGATAGGGCAATAAGGAATGATTCATTCTATGTCTGCACTATAATACTGTCAGTTTGTTTCATTCACATCAATTTATGTTATTTCAGTTTTTATAAATATAGTGACATAATCTTTAGTCGCACTATCTTTGCTGCTCTTGATGTGGTTCCAGTGAGGCACATAAGAGACCGTGAGAAAAACAAACCCAAAAAGCTGAGCAGCCTCAGTGTAGCGCTGTGCTTCAGCCTGTATACAACCAGCTACAACTGTACGGGAACACGCGGGTTTCAAATACACAGGTGTCTTAAGATAAAGTAGAAAGTAGAAGGTATATAGACTGGACCAAACATTGAAAAATCCATTGTATGACTGGGGCAGCTGGTTGCTGATTGGCCAGATCACTGTGTACTGACATGCTAAAGGCTGTGTGTCCACAGGAAAAGCAAGTTAGGGACACGGACTGCATCATACTGTAGCTCCCATCAGTGCATTGGAATCCGGCTGGGTTCTGTACTTAGTTGAGCTTAATAGGTTGATGTAGCAGTAAAAAGATTAGTTCATGGGCAATGGAAACATGTTTTGGTTACATGGTAGTCACTTCTTTAAGTACAACCTCTGTCACCACTGAGCAGCCAACACTCTGCTATGAACAGGTAAACTTATAAAATTAACAATAAAAGACACTGTTATCTGGGGGGGAAATAAAGACTGTCAATCAGCTCGACAGTTGGTTGTCCACAGATGTTTGAATGTGGGCATAAATATTTGTTTATTCTGACATTTTAAAGCTCACTTTATAAAGATGCCTGGCCTAATTTTAAAGCTACATTTAACACCAGGATGAAAAACACAAGAACTTATGTCACACAGGCAACAGTTACAAAGTGTGACGGGACAGTCCAACAAGTACACAACCCAGGATGTGACACCACATGCCATCTAATTCAGTCATCTGTTCTTCAGCAGTCTGTAAAACCAGGAATCACTCATAGCAGTCACTGATACAACAGCTCTTTACTGTTAGCACTGTCCTCCATGTTTGATTTTCTGTCACATGCTTCTGCTCTATGTACAGTATGTTAGTAACAAGTAAGAGAAAATTCAGAATTTATTCAATATTTATTTAATAAATAGGCACAATAAATGACTGCATTATTTAAATAATAAACACATGAAAACTTTTATTTTAAAAAAGTAAAAATTTTGGAACAGATTATGGTAGTTTTTATCTTTTTAACAAACATTAGTTGACCTAGAGGAAGTCTATTAGCCTGCATCCCATGCAACAAGAACACAGAAAACTGAAGTTAGACATTTCGGACAGTGTCAAAAAATGAACATTAGCCGTCCCTGGTAGGCTAGTGGTTCGAGTCAGGGTTGCGTCAGGAAGGGCATCCAGCGTAACACGTGCCAAATGTCAACATGCGAGTCGTCAGTGTGATGATTCGCTGTGGCGACCCCTAAACGGGAAAAAGCCAAAAGTGACTTTCTTTCTTTTTAAACTTCAGGCAGATAATGGCAGGGCTGGCAGGCATTGGACTACACATATACGTAGCTGTATGCCTAACAATGTGCCATTTCATAGAGGTTTAAAAGGGTTGCCTGAAAAACCTCTCCAACTCTGCATTGTCCATTGAGTCAAATTTTAGTACTTGAGTTGCTATTGAGGTATTTGCCATCCAGTTTCATCAAGCTTTTCCAGAATCTCAAATGTGTCCTTTGTTGGTGGGTAGCTCAGGTCCAGTGAGTACATGGGGGCAAATAACATGACTAGGACTTTTGGAAAATTATGAAACTTGTGAAGCACCTCCACACCATCGATGGCTATTCCAACATGGGAGGGTTCGGCTTCCACCCGCCTGATGGCAAAGACCCAGGACCGTCTGCTCCATGGTCACCTGGCTCCTTAAAAACAGCACATTTTAAGATTTAGCACAGGCGCACACTGAAACAAACATTTTCTTATTTAGTAACTACCAATCTATCTATCCCTCATGTACTGAGGGTCTTAAATAAAATTCCATTCTCTCATGACTTATTTAGGCACAACTGAGTGTGAACACCTTAAATTACATATTGCATATTTTTCTCCACTGCAAAACCCGAATTGTGACTTCTTAGTAAATATTAACATGTGCAATTTCACTGTTTAGTACCAAAAACTGAGCCACAAAGCCTTAGTAAATATCCCCCTCAGTGTAGTTTGTCTAACTTTGGCATTGTATGTTAATTGTATCTGGTCAAATGGGAACATGAGAAAAGAGGAGTTACATTTGACAAACTAAACAGTATAAAGAAAGTCACTTTCGGCTTTTCCCGTTTAGGGGTCGCCACAGCGAATTGTCACACTGACGACTCGCATGTTGACATGTGGCATGTGTTTTACGCCGGATGCCCTTCCTGATGCAACCTGGATTTGAGCCCAGGGCTCCGCGGGCGCTGCACCTTAACCACTAGCCTACCAGGGATGGCCAGTGACAAACTAAACTGTATAATCTCCATAAATCTATATTGAAACAAAAATCCACATAGCTGCTCTTGTTGTTAAGAAGTTTTTCATCCTAGTGGCTACTTGCAAACCTGACAACTTCATGATATGGACAGGACAATGTTAAACAGCCATCTGTAAAACAAACCATTTAAATCCAATATACATGATGTGCATGAGCACTTTACTGGGTGCAAATGTCTTCTGTCCGCCAGATATCTTCAGTATGTTGCAGTATGCTCAAGTGCACACTAATATATTAAATAAAATTTATGAAAACAAATCTATTGTTAGAAATACAAACCTCATCCATGTTTGTACCAGAACAAACCCTTTTGGCCTTTCCTCACCTTGGCTTCTCACACCGGCCATCTGCCAACTCCTCTCCTATTCCTATTCTACTAATTGAATATTTTTTAGCTCACTTTAATTGATTCATTTTATTCTACCTAGAGCAATTAGTATTGTTTTTTGTGATATTTTGATATTTGTGGTTAATACCCCATTCTCCCAACCTCTCCACTTTTTTGGACTCCAGCTGTCTGTGTCTGGATCAGTCAGATAACCAGGGATGGACTGGAGTTTTATTTCTTGAAGTATTTTTATTTTTCTTTTTCAAGAGAAGTGTAGTTCTTGGCAGCATGAAAGAGGTTTTTCTTGATAACAGTGTTTTCTCTTTGACTGCCTGCCAGTGTTTATCTGCCCCTGGCAACAAATCCTTTTCTATCTGCCATTCTTATCTTTCTCTACATTTGCTTCTTATCCTCCACTGCTTTTTTATGTTGCCATCCACTCCACAGATCTCTCACACGCCCCCATACTGAATGTAACCCCAAACCATGATTTTACCTCCACTGAACTTGACTGTTTTCTGTGTGAATCTTGGGTCCATGAGGGTTCCAATAGGTCTTCTGCAGTATTTGCAATGATTGGGATGCAGTTCAATAGATGATTCATTGGAAAAATCAACCTTCTGCTACTTTTCCACTGTCTATCCTTCCTGCAAGCTGTGGGCCTTGGCAAATGCAACACAATTTTTAGTTGGCTTCTGTTTAATGCTGGTTCCTCAGCACTAATTAGGCCATTGAGACCACTGCGTGAGAGAATTTGACAAACTGTTCTTGTAGATACAGGGGTTTCTGGTGACCAGTTATTATGTAGCTCTGCTTGAAAAAGGACTGGCCCTGGACCGTCAAAGCAACAGATGGTCCTCTCGAACAGTTGCCTTACGGTGTCTGCCTGACCTGGGCCTGTCATGAACTTCACCAGTTTCTTCAAACCTTTTTCTTATCCTCTCCACTTGACGTTTAGATACATTAAAGATGTCTGCCACCTCAGCAGGAGACTTGGTCTTCAGGCTCTTGATGATCACCACTTTGTTCTGTGGTTGAATCTTTGGCATGCTGTCAAAGGTCAGGTTGCATTTCAAATGAAGGTTGGGTGTGCTGGGGTTCTTCTTATACACACCTGGGAATGTGTTACAGTATTTCTCACAGGTGATGCTCTAATCTGTGATTGGTTAAATCCTTTAAAGATACGGCAAGACTTTTGTCCTTGCAGAAACATACGTTATGGGTTTTACCAAGCTGTGAACATCAGGACACTTTTTGATGGTTTCATTTTGCATCCAGTTATTAATGTGAATGCCCTTGACATTACAATTAACAATTTATTGCGGCAACTGAATGATTAGAAATAAAGTTATATGACATAGGACAAGACTTTTTTCAGGGAGTGTAGTATTCATTACTGTCTGTCCAGCTGCTCCACCCTTCCTTTAGAAAACTCCTGTGGCGATGTAGGTGGATGAACGTCAGTCTAAGCTGAGCAATGGTGAAGGAGGCAAACTCGGCTTCCACCTACAAACATTAAACAATGAGAGAGATTCAGTAATCACACAGTACATGGTAAAATAACTATATGCATTTATTTATGGGTGTAATTAAGCCAGATGTGCACAGAACAGTTTATTAAAAAAACACAACAATGACATCATATAAACGTACTTGATATTGGTATTGTTAAATAAATAGCATTATCTATGGGGGTCTAGCTTTATAACAGTTACTGCCATGTACTACTGCAAGTGCTTTAGCCATCTACTTGACAAACTAAAGGGACACATGCAACAATAATTAAACGACGTTTATTTATTTGCCAGATACTATAAACCGATCAGCCATAACATTATGACTACTCTCAGTTATGGAAACAGCAAGCCATTAAGACAAAAAGCTTATGAGAATCTTGTCCTGTTTCCATCTCAGGAAATACCTT